GTCAATTCAATTTCACCTTTGCCATGGTCAGCTCTGAAGCTCATTTAGATCAGAGGATCACACAGGGTATCTACAATTTAAAGATCCATGACACGTGTTATCTCCGAGTAAATAATCTAATACCTTTAGAAGGTCATCGTGAACCCGCACAGATGTATAGTTGAGTACGACGTTGGCACTGGAACCCAACAGCGCTTGAAACACAATTCAAACAAAAAAGCCAGGAAAAAATATACGAGAATAGGGTCACATTGCCAACCTATTCCTAATCTTAAAAAATTATGGCAGAATTTTAGAGGATTTTTAGAAGGGACGAGAGGTCCGATGAGTACAGTGAGATTCGTGTGCTTACTTATGCTACTTAAATAAATGTCGCAGCTATTTTTAAAGCTGAAACAGAGAACAGCCTATAAATAAATAAATAAATAAATCTTACGTCTTTTCCAAAAACTAATAATGTTAAACGCGAATCCGTTCTAGATCCGTCGTCAGATCCACTTGCTTGCCCTCTTATGTTCCCAACCGGAGACTTTCGTTGGCGCACCTAATATAAACACGCCTAAATCAGAACATATAGGAAGTACAAATAATTTAACAATGCTATAGTACGTGTCCTACTGGTTGGTGAAAGAGAGAGATTTAATATAATAAATAGGTTACATACCTTATAAATCCGGATTTATAAGGTATGTAACCTATTTATTATGTTGAATTCAACAGCTCAGGAATTTTAAGAGCGATTTAGCTTGCTACAAAGTCTAAAAACTCACTACAGTGTGTGGTTGACATCTACGTTCTCATAGAAGGCACCCACCTATAGTACATAAAGAGATAGGATAGCCAAAGCATTACGAGAGTGGATCTATATTTAAATATTGTATACTACTTTTATAATCTTTTTACAACATTATATTTTTCATATTTATATAATCATTCAGAAATTACTTTAGAGTGACTCTTTGATTAAGTCTTGCTGTTTATTTTTTTACTGGTTATTCTTTCATTACAGCCTGCAGTTTTGCTCGGTTTCGAGCAACAGGTTATCTAGTGCATATTAAATACACAATCAGTTGCAATAGAATTGTTTTATTGTCACCGCTGCCTAGCAACTATTTATTATTATTTTTGCTGATTCCTCAAATTATTTCTTCAGCCTCAAAGTTGTAGTTGTGTTGACTATCAGTGTGCATTATTATTGTGGTGAATAATAGGGTATAGTGTGGTGAAAAATAGCGTTCGTACCACGGACCGAAATGGTTTTGCAGCTCTCGATCATTTTAAGTTCGAGACGAAGTCGAAATATAATATAACATCTTATTGTTATATTGTTATTTAATTGATTTTTCTTTGATTGATTAAATGTTGTTGTAAACAATTTGCATGTGTGTTTAAAGTGCGTTCTTTATGTTAAGTGTGTGATTTTAATGTTATGCGCTTAATCTGTACCAATAATATATTAGCGAGTAAAGTGGTGTATGGATTTCATAACCATTATTTTACTAGAGACCGTTGTATTTAACCACAACGGGCTCTGTTGCTAGTAACACAGTATTAATAATTAATATTTAATTCGTTTCTATTCATGCAAGTATACACCCAATGTTTTTGGAACATCGATTACTGTGTTTTTAAAATAAATAAAACATAACTGATACACAATCATTTGAAAAACTTGTATATTTAAAAGTGTGTGATTAAAATGTTTTAACATTAAAAGGAAATTTTGTACTACATCATAAGAAAAAACGTTGAGTCACTTTTCGTAATGTATAGAACATCTATGATAAGGATTTAAAAGTTAACTCAGGGTAAAATTGAACAAATAGTTATAATAAAAACAAATGTAACATCCGACCAATCTTAAATATTTTACATGTGATTTAAATAATTCCTTTGATTAAGGTTCGTGCCCTAGGGGAGGATTTCTCGGAAAACGGGAAGTTGAAATTTTACGGGGAAGTTTAACATAAAGAGCTTTTATTCAAGTATGCGGTTAACAGGTTAGGCTTAGGTTCCCTCAAATTAGCTTTGAATATAGAATCATAATTTGTTTAACCCCAGTGTAAGACCAGTGTATGCTGCTAGTGTAAGACCTTTCACCATTAGACACCTCGTGCCCATGTTTTTAGTAGTTTCTTATGAAAAACAACAGGTTAAATAAAATACGCTTGCTTAACTTTTTTTTATTGTGTACATTAACTTTTTAACCGGGTTTGCTGAAAGGATAACTGAAAAATATACCTTATATTATGTAAATGTCACATTGACAATTACATTATAAGAAACACGATATAGAATTTCTACGAAGGTGATTGGCTCGACAGGTGGTCGAAACTTTTGTCGCCAAACGAACCATGCACAATGACCGTGCAGCAGGATAGCAGGATACAGCTCAAGTTGTGTGGGGGAGGGGGAGGGGTGGACAAAATGTAATCGTATTCCAGGGTGGTCGGCACGAGACACGACAGCCGACACTGCGACGCCGGACTATCGACTACCCTCTACATCACACACTACAGTATCACTAGCACTAGACACACACAGCTACCTCAACCTTCACCATCAACTAGTAGCCCTCCCTATCTGGGCACTCGTATTTACTCCGGATCCAAAATCTGAACAATTATGCAAAACGAAAAATGAGTTTTTGCCTATAAGAAATAATAAATACGATTTATTTATTTATATTAGAAGACATGGACTGTTATATATATATACAAATTCGAAAAGTTGGTGATTTTTAATTAAGTGCATTGTCAAAAGTGTTAATCAAATCACAACAAGGACTAAACTATAGTAGTACAGTACTGCCCTTGATAACAGACTGCCCTTGATAACAGACTGCCCGTTCTGTATCGACGTGTTTTAAACCTTCACACATTTAACACGATCTAATGCGATGTATAAGATAGTCCCTTATATTACGAGGATACTCCGAATCTTTATAATCACTCGCCATTTGGCTAGCCAAGTGGTTTTATTATTTCATATGTCATATAATATTTAAAAGATACATACTATAAACTTGGACCATTAATACAACTAGACATTCCATCCAAATGTTAAAGTTGTCACCAGTTAAATACCAGATTGTGCTGATATAAATTGTCAATTTCTGTCGAATACACAAACCTTTTTACCGAGTCAAAAACTACAGGAATAAGTTATTGTGAGTTACAAGTCACATAAACTGTTATGATCCATCAACTTAGTCAGAAACAAAATAAAAAGGTATAAAATCGAACTTTAGACACTAGGGCAATCTGTGACTGGCTCACAGAACTAGTTTCTTCCTCATTAAAAAATGGGCGACAGCTAGTCCATGTAGATGGGATGTGTAATTCAGTAACCAAGATAGTCAATGCTGTAACTTTAAACAATAAGTTCCAGGTTTAACACACCACCCAAACTACTCTAATAAACTAATGCCCTTAACCTCCAAATGAGGCCTACGCTAATTAATCAGTAACAAGTCCTCTCTAATTACAGAGATATATTGAAAACCAGTCAAGTGTGTTTGTTTAAAGACGGTGACACACTATCGATCTTTTCCCCGAACAAGACCCCGAACCGAGCAGGGAGAAGGGAGAAGGGAGGTCGAAGGGAGGATGTTCGATAGTGTGTCACGGGTCCGTACACCGATCAAGACGCCGAACAAGACATCAGGCCGAGCAGGGAGACGAGCGCTCTGGAGGCGGTTTTTTGGCGAAAGATCAAAGAAAAGATCGGTCCGATGTACGGTCCGATGTACGATAGTGTGTCACGGTACATTTTTGCCCCGTACATCGTCGCGAGCGCCGCACCGAGCGGCCGCCTGCGCTAGCATTGATAGTTCTGATTTAATATGGCAATTAAACTCTTTAATTGGTAAAATAAATAAATGTTGGGTAATATGTTGCCGTTATATATTATAATCATTTAAGATGTAATGTTTGTGGTTTGTTTGGTCAAGGTTGAAAGTGTAGAAACCGTTAAATCAATTATATCAATAATATTAAGGTTGAATTAAGTAATTGATGTTGACTTAAATTCTTTCAAAAATAATATAAACATTAATATTATTAAAGGCAATTAAAATGATCATTCTGTAACGTTATTTCAATGAATAAAACCAATAGAAATCAATAGATATAACTAAGCATCCTTTCTAGAATATTTTATTTTTGCGCTCTCACTCGCACACACTCTCCATCTCTCTCCAAACTTCCTTTTGCCGCGCTCGGTAGAATTCGTCTGGTCTTGGTCATGTTCGGGGAAATGTTCGGAGTAAAATTTTGCTGATATTTATCTCCCTTCTCCCTTCTCCCTGCTCGGTTCGGGGTCTTGATCGGGGAAAAGATCGATAGTGTGTCACCGTCTTTAGGGAGATCTGTTTGTTGAAGAAACTGGGAGATGAATGAGGTGTGAAAAACAAGAATATGCCAAGGCCTCACCCCCACCTGCACTGACACTGTACCAACTGTGCTCAGATCCTACACTTACACTGCTCCGGCGTCATTCGTGAAAAACTTGTTTCTATTTGATTATATTTGTCGAATATTGTGTAGTCATAAAATATAATCGTCAAAAAACACGTACACACTAACTGTACTTGTAAAGTTACATGATTCAAAAACTGCGGCAGGGATCTTTTTATGTGCTGGAGAGAACAGATAGGCTACGTGTAAACTCAGACTATTTTTTTTAAATCCAGTTCAGGGACTAAATAAGCCACACCAACCACGAGTAAAATACTCGGGAGGTTGTTTAGGGGTCTGCACCAAGCAATAGTATACGAAGTAGCTATTATACCTTCTGCCGGCAATTTAATTTGTCTATTAAAACTAACTAGCATCATAGATTTAAAAGGAGATAGAAGTGTCTACTCCTTTAATCCATGCTAGCATTCAAACACGCTAGCAGTGCACACAGCTGGGGATCAGTATTCCCAGGGGTTGAGTATACTGTAACTAATTAGAGAATACGGCAGATCGCTTATTGGTGGAAAAAACGTAACTTACCGGTCTTCTAAAGCCGCTTCCACGGTATTTGTCTCACGGGTTGAGGTGGGACCTGAAACAATAAAACATGTAGGTACTTATATACTATGGAGTTCTCAGTGTAATGAAAAACCCGTTGATGGCCAAACCCACCTTTGCAACTTGATATTATGACTGGGTCTATAAGTTTTTGTATAGACCATTTATTATTTGGGTTCCCATATGGGGGATGCGGAATACCTACAATCCCTCAGAAAACCACCCCCAGGTGAAACGTGACGTCAAGAAATCTAAATAACCAATATGGGAGCCGTGTCCGCGACTGGAATACCACCCCCCCCCCCTAGCAAAATGGGATTCCATGTACAGTAATTGTAATTTTAATTCGAGTAATTCCGTTTGATAACAGTAAAGACATGGAGGAAATATCATAAAAAATGTTGAAATGTTACAGCAAGTTTGGTTGGATAGGTTAAGTTAGTTTAGAACAGTATGACAACAAAACTTGAGTGTCCGTGACTGGAAAACTACCCCCCCCCCCATCTCTGACGTCAACATGACGTAAGAACCTGCTTGGGGGGGTGGGGGGTAGTTGTCCGGGGGGCAGTCTTCCGGCGACCCGCCATATGATGTGGAACACGGAGGAAAACGGGGGAATAATTCGTGAATAAATAATGCAAATTTAAAATTGAAATCTCGTGGTACTTTTAGTGAACACGAAACATGATCTCAGCTTATAAGCCATTTAGTAATGTAGCTTCTAAGTGGTAAAGTGCACAACACAAGTCAAAAATGTTGCCACAAAGTATTTGTTGCCGCAATAGTATCACCGTAATGATTTAATGTACACTTGAGATAAACAAAACAAGCTGTATGAAGCACTGAGTTGTTTCGAGGGTAGGGCCGGAACGGCCAACTAATTGGTTTATCAGCGGTCAATATCAAGTTCAGGTATCAAGGGGAACACTGCAAGAGCTTCACACTACGAAATCAGATCTCTCCTCATCCTGCACCTGAGGCTAGACCACAGAGGATCCCCTTCTTCGATACATTTTATCATGTGTCTACACTATAAATAAAGCTATGACTAGCTGTAACAGCTTCACATCGTAGGCCCTTAATAAAAGTAACAAACTTCAATTATGACAATAAAACAGGTTCATGGTCGATCTGGGAACCACAAAACCTCCAAGATGCGTTGAGGTAAGTCCTCAACCAAAGTTCTTTTACATAACATAACATTTAACTCGAATAGGGGAAGCATTTTAATTGTTGAATAATATGCTATAATATTGAACATAGGCTATTTTTGCAATATCGAATATATTATTATTCAGTATTATCATATAATATACTTAATCCCTTGGTTAGGCTCCTACATTTACTACAAATGTACGGCCGGGGCTATAGGAGGCGGTTTTCCGCCTGAAGTCAAGCCACGAGTCGATGTCAGTACACACGGCGCGGTTGAACCGCTTCCTGTTGGGGTTTCCCGGCCCACATAGCGTATTACAACTAGGTCCAATTCACCCATATTAATTATGGACGAAACACTTATTTTAGTTTGTGCAGAAGCAATTGGTGAGCTGGAACCAAAGGTTAACAAAAATCACTGTGTCCATCCATTCATAACGGATAAACCATTTGTGTTTCAAACGTTTTACGAGCACTTATGTGAAACCAAAGTTCGGAGTTTTTTTGTTGTTGTTATTACCGTATGTCAATGTCAATAGTATCGATTGACAATCTACTTGAACACCCGGCAGCTCCGAGTAGTCTATTCATTGGGCTGTTTGTCTCTGACCAGTTCTATTAACTTGTTCGTATCAAACATTGTACAAATTTCAATCGGTAAACACACGCACATAAACAAAAACTAATTCAATACCAGTAGAAAAGCCAAAAGCGAACCGTATCGTGTATTGTCTCTCATTTTCACAAGACTGCGTGTGTCCATTCTCTCCATCGCGGCTTAAAAGAGTCATCATCAGAGTAGTGTTATATAGTCAATGGTGGTAGCCATGTTGGATTTTAGTCCCATAAGAGCAATTTTAAATTTGAGAAAACATACCATCATTTGAAGCAGCATGCCGGTGTTACTAGCGGAATGAGGATATTGTATTTAAAATATTTGTTTTTTCCGACCGCGCGGCAAAACCGCCTCGGGTTGCCCATGCTTACTATGGTATTACTGTTAATTTATGAGATCTCACAATGGGTCACCTCAAATGAACTATTAACCAACTGAATCATGGGCCAAACAAGCTGTTTAAGGTAGAATAGGACTTAACTGGTATAATAATAATAAAAATAATACATGATTTCACGCACGCGCGGTTGAAGACAAATATCCATGTAATAATTATTCTGTATTGACTTATATCACAAATTAAAATAACCTCACTTCAAACTGTTAGTTTAACTTACAGATTCAATAAAAGTAAAACGCTCAGTTTCTATTACGTTAAAGGGTGGGTGAAGGAAATGGATTTTTCAACGACGTGGAAGTCTATAAATAGTCCTTGAACGCGGTTTCGCTAAGCGCCACTTCAGCCGGACGTATTACCGCGCATATTGAAAAGACTTCTCGCATTTACAATAGCTTCTTATAATACAAACTGTTATATATAATTTTATATTAAATTCGACCTTACAAAAAATACTATATTGAATGAATCTATATAAATAAAATTAGAATGTTGTCTGTACATTGCTCAGAATTATATATTTTTAGGTTATTTTTACGTTTTATACATTAAAGAAGCAGAAACAAGTCTTATCTCTATTTCTGTCTGTCTGTCTGTCTTTCTGTAACACTCAAGATGGCATTTTACGCAATCTTCTCCATGAAAACGAGAGTACCTATCAAGATCCAAGTTATTTTAATGTATTCACTGGATTGGCGAGTGTCTTTAGCCATTAAAACATGGCCGCACTACTTTGTAAATAAAATTACGGACGTTCAAAAATGCAGTTTTGTGCGATTTTTGCCAAGTTTTCGGTCAATTTTTATTACATAACTAGCAGAGTACCCGTCCTTCGTACGGGGTTGGCATAGAAGTATAAAATGCTTATTGCAGTTACGGGAGAGGACACGGTTTAAGGCAATTTGGTCTTTAAATTTATACGGTATCCTATAGTGTAGCACACATCTACCATAGCCCTAATTTTCTACAACTGCACCTAAACCATGGAAAAAGTAAAGTTTTCATTGTGTACCACAACTTTTTGTTGCTAGTTGGTTCAAATTAGCTGGTGTAATAAATGCAAAAAACATAATAGTGCTGCACCCTTTTGGTAAGCCCTACTTTTAATGCTATTTAATATCATAGAACCAACTTGTACAGTTGAAACGGCTGACAATAGTTATTTGTGTAACTAGTGGTGAAAGTGGCACTTTGCTGCACACGAGAGCAATGTTTACGCACGAGCCGCAGGCGAGTGCGGAATGATCTCGAGTGCAGCAAAGGCCTTTTTCACTCGTGTTACACATTATATTTTTCCTACAGTCACTATAAAACATAAATAATTAGTCTTTCAAACACTATACAACACGTTTTTAGGTTCAGCTAGCAACACAATTACACAAATGGTGCCCTGGAGAAAGTAGTACCCGTGGTCCGTATCACTCCGCTATTTTTCCTCGGCAAGAAATGTGGTCGTCTTTTGAGAATATAGTTCCGTATGTTTTTGTAATTTGAAGTGGTTTCCGCGCCTAAAAAAATGCTTTAAAGGTATTTTCTTGTTTATTAAGACCGTAGGAATGTTTTAAAAACGTTTAAAAGAAAAGTCCAGAAAGTTCAGAAATACCAAAACTATAAACACGAAATGACAGGTTAAATCGTAGTTATAATAGTCAATCAGCTGTTCATAGTATTATTATCTTTAAGTGTTGCCAACCTATTTCCAAGCGTACACGGATTACGTGCATAATAAAACCACGCTGTTTTGTGTTGTTTGGTTGGAATCCTGATGTGCGGCAAAGTATAAACCGTGCGGCAAAGTATAAACCGTACGGCAAAGTATAAATATGCAGTAATTAGCAGCTTTCTGTACTATAAACAGTACAGGGAAGCCAACTTTGTCGGGTGACTGTAGGAAAAATTCTTTTATTCCCTTAATATGAATACTCATAAGGCTAACATGAGAAAATCCAGAGCCAGAGCGACTGGGGCGGATCCTGAAAGTGTTTTTGAGGTAAGAATATGTCTATATATTAATCGGGAACGTCAGCTATCATCACACCAAACTTCAACCTTATCGGTTTAGTATTTACTTAAGTATGTATTTGTCACATGCAAAAGAGACAATGTTGGTTCTTTGAAAATGCCAAATAATGGTATCACTCCTACCATTTAATTCAGAAACAAAATCTCTATTCTCTATATTTATACAGCCGCATGTGTAACTGGTAACGTATACTAATTCTAGATCACTTCTAGACGTGCTAGAGACTTGAAATTTTCGGTGTTTTGTAGGTCTAGTGCCCAAACCCCCGGAAAAAATCCGAAAAGTGGCATTTTCCCCTACCAACCCCCCCTAAATTAACAATTTCCCCCCCATGTTATTCTTATGGGAAATAACGTTGAAAAACACCGATTTTCGTACGCTCATCTAAACCGTTTAGAAACGTGCTAGAGACTTGGAATTTGCGTAGGATTGTACTATGGGATCTTACATTACCGGTAAAATTCGTAAAAAACCCATTTTCAAAATTCTACCCCCCCAAAAAAATTCCATACAAATTTCGGTTTTTGGAAAAACATGTTTTTTTAAAACAGCTGTAGCTCGAAAACGGTAAGAGCTAGAATCGATTTGAGGAAAAATCGTGAGTTCGCAATTAAATTTTCTACAAGACAGTTTTGTCTGAGAAGGCGTCGTATCGAAATTCGCACTCCTTCACCTTCAAAAAACGCTCTACTTCCAAAAATTGTAAAAATTCTTGATTTTTTTAAGTGTTTTTAATTTTTAAAACGACTTTTTGCACATATATTTTTATTTTTTATGCTCCCAACGTTGAAAGGAAAGTCCCTAGAGTGACCTTCTATAATTTTAATGTATTAAAAAAAAATTCAAAATGGCGAATTTTCAATAAAAAAGATCGTTTTTAACGTATTTCTTATGGAGAATTAACATGCAACGACAAGCAAACTAGAAGTAAACGTGAGTAGGTGAAATATGGGCGTTTGGTGACAGAAAAAAACATTTTTGTCACTTCTAGAGTAGCTACGGAGCTGAAATTTGTTCTGAAGGTTTGTCTGGATACCAAACCACCCATTAAGTCCCAAAATTTAGTTTTTTCCAACCGAAACCCACCAAAAGAAATCCCTTAAAACCCTAGTTTTTTTGGGAAAAACACGTTTTTTTTTAAACTGCTGTAGCTTGAAAACGATAAGAGCTAGAAACGATTTGAGGGAAAATCGTAGGTTCAGAATTAAATTTTCTACAAGACACTTTTCTCGAAGAAGGGGTCATATCGAAAATCTTACTCCTTCACCTTCAAAAAACGATCTACTTCCAAAAATTGTGAAAATTCTCGATTTTTTTAGGTGTTTTTAATTTTTAAAACGACTTTTCGTACATATATTTGTACTTTTTATGGTCCCAACGTTGAAAAGAAAGTCCCTTGAGTGACCTTCTATAATTTCAACGTATTAAAAATTTAAAAAGTCGGATTTTCAATCAAAAAGATAGTTTTTAACGCTTTCTTAACGTATTTTCTATCGAAAATTAACATGCTTTTTTACGCAAACGAGATCGGAATTTTAGTAGGTGAATTATATATATTTTGACCAATCCCATTTACCCCCCCCCTCTTTCATCCCCTTTAATAAAATTTTACCATTAGCAACAGGGTGCAGCACTATTATTTTTTAAAATTTATGACAATAGCTAATTTGCAACCAAACGGTGAGTGAGCGTAGCGAACGAGCTAACCTGAAGGCAAGTGAGCGCAGCGAACGAGCTCCAACCTAAAGGTGAGTGAGCGTAGCGAACGAGCTTACCTGAAGGCAAGTGAGCGCAGCGAACGAGCTCCAACCCAAAGGTGAGTGAGCGTAGCGAACGAGCTTATCTGAAGGCAAGTGAGCGCAGCGAACGAGTTCCAACCTAAAGGTGAGTGAGCGTAGCGAACGAGCTTACCTGAAGGCAAGTGAGCGCAGCGAACATGCTCCAACCTAAAGGTGAGTGAGCGTAGCGAACGAGCTAATCTGAAGGCAAGTGAGCGCAGCGAACGAGCTAACCTGAATGCAAGTGAGCGCAGTGAACGAGCTCCAACCTAAAGGTGAATGAGCGTAGCGAACGAGCTAACCTGAAGGCAAGTGAGCGCAGCGAACGAGCTCCAACCTAAAAGTGAGTGAGCGTAGCGAACAGCTAACCTGAAGGCAAGTGAGCGCAGCGAACGAGCTCCAACCTAAAGGTGAGTGAGCGTAGCGAACGAACTTCAACCAGGATTTGATTGAGCCATGCGTTTAGTTTAATTGTTTTCCCATCTCCACCCCAAACTCGTGTTAAACCTTAAATTTTACCTTATTTTCCCTATTTTTTGTGATTTTGAATGCGCAAGGGGTCCATTCTTCGTGCCGATAATTTTCACCAACCCCCCGCCCTAAGATTATTTTAAAATATCATTTTACCTCACTCTAACTCCTAAGACTTTATCGATGCTTATTGATGCGAAGAAAGTTGTTTGAGGTTGTGACTTAGCAAATTTAATTTATCATAGCACCGGCCCTACATCGAGACTCTAACATGTCAAGACTGGTTTGGTTTGCACTTAACAACCCCTCTATGGAATACTTCGCAACTGCCAAGTTATCACTACGTCTTTTACGCAAAAATGTTTCCGGACAAAAAATGTTTCCGGACAACATCCTGTCCCCCGTGAACATTTCTCATCACGGCTACTATTAAAAGGGGGCCTGGGGGCGGGGCCCCTAGCGAGCACAAGGCGAGTCTAAATACCATAATCCCGCATATGTAACTCACTGGGGGATACAAATTCTAGACAACTTCTAGAGGTGCTAGGGAGTTGAAATTTGGCACGCGTGTAGGTCTTGGGCCCAAACCCCCGGGAAAATTCCAAAAAGTCGCATTTTCAAATTTTAACCCCCCCGAAATTAAGAGTTTCCCCCCCATGTTATTCTTATGGGGAATAACATTAAAAATGACCGACTTTGGTGTGCCCATCTGAATCACTTAGAAATGGGCTAGAGACTTGAAATTTGCGTAGTATTGTAGTATGAGATCTTACATTACCGGTGGAATTTGCAAAAGTCCCATTTTCAAATTTTAACCACCCCAAAAATCCAAAATGGCGGACCTCTGAAAACGAAAAAAACACTTTTTTTTTCAACCGGATGTAGCTCGAAAACGGTAGGAGCTAGAAAAGATTTGAAAGGATCTTAGCGAAAGGAAATTAAATTTTCTACAAAACCTTGTTAAGCGTTTTCCGAAAATCGCACTCCTTAACCTTCAAAAAACGCCCTACTTTCAAAATTTAGTAAATTTCTTTCAATTTTTTTAAAGGTTTTCGCTGTTTTTTCATACTTAAATAATTCCTTTTCGCAAATATTATTATTGTTTTGTATTCTCCTTACTTTACTTTAAATTTTACTCATTACATGTTTTTTCGTAACTTTACTCTTTGACCCCCAAAACTTAATTTTAATGTCAAAATTTGAAAGTTTTTACGAGCCCCATGTTATTCTTATGGAGAATAACATTGAAATTGAATGACTTTGTTATGGTCATCTGAATGGTTTAAAAACGTGCTAGAGACTTAAATTTGGTAGTAACGTAGTATGGTATCTTAATTTAACGGAGAAATTTGCAAAAGTCCCATTTTCAAAGTTTAACCCCCCCAAAAATCCAAAATGGCGGACCTCTAAAAACGACAAAACATGTTTTTTTTCAAACAGCTATAGCTCGAACATGGTAAGAGATAGAAAAGATTTTAAATAATTTTCATGGTCAGGAATTAAATTCTCTACAATATACTCTTGGGAGTTTTTCGAAAATCGCACTCCTTTACCTTAAAAAAAAACGCCCTACCTCCAAAAATTGTAAAAAGTTCTCGATTTTTTACGTGTTTTTTTTTAATTTTCGGACATAAAGTTTTATTTTTTATGCTCCTAATGTTTTATGCTGAAAAAAAAATGCCCTAATACACATTAAAAAACTTTCTACCCTTAAAAAGATTAAAAATGGCGGATTTTTGGTAAAGCAGTACAGACAAGTCGCTAATGCACTATATTGAGTTGGTTCTCGCTCTTATTTCTGCTACCAAATTTGACTACACATGTTCAAGTTTCACGATCACTTCTAATCCTATTTGGACTATTTTTATTCGGATTTTTGTGATCTATACTTGTTATCCGCTTTAATTGTTGGTATGGATCACTCTTGTGTTGCTGTTGGGTCTTTCCATCAGGGAGATCTGAGATTCACTGAGAGCAACAATGCACAGTGCATGGCTAATTCAGCCTGTGCCCTCGCCTGGCAAGTGTTCTGCGGGGGGTTCAGTACTAATGCCATTGACGAAATACTCATGGCCGGCGACCGTTTGTACAATCAATCCCGCCGTGAGTATAACGTCATACATAGGTATCTCTTTCCCGAGGACCTTGCCAGGAACTTCGTGGTTGCAGACCATCATGTAACCATAGAGGAAATTTCCAATGTTGTTGATGGATTGTATCCTCGTTCCTACGCCGAATTGGACGATGTGACCACTTCTTTAACAGCGATGTTGGAAACAGCCATGACCGGCGACTCTGTTGATGGTGGCTTTGTGTTCACTGGTCAATTGGTAGCAGTAGCTTTTTGGCGTTACCAAGGGCGACTCTACCTCTTTGACTCACACGCGGTGAACGAGAGTCGTCGTCGAGACATAGATGAGGTCAATAATAAGGCTCGGCTGTTTGTGTGCGACAACTTTCCTTCCCTGGCCTCCCTTTTATTGGTAAATTCGGCGTTCGTCGGTGGACAGTACTCTGTTACTAAGCTTAAATTTTCCGTCCATCAAACTGTCCATACGATCGGATGTCCAGACAGTGATTTGACCCACGTTTTAGAATCTCCCTCTCAGGCAGTTGCTAAGGGAACCAAAGGTCCTGGCAGACCAAAGAAAATTAAAAGAGGTCGTCCAAAAACTTTAGACACTACTCGGGAAGAGCAGGTAGATGCGGCTAAGAAGAGGTATAGAGAGACGCACCCTGAACAACACAGAGATGAGAATCAGCGGTACTCACAAAATCACCCTGAAGTGAATAGAAGGGCTGTTCGGGAGTACGACTTGCGTCATCCTGGTGCTTCTGCCGAAAGAGGTCAGATTTTTCGACTGAAAAATCCGAAAATGTCTGAACTCCAACACCTGGCAGGTCCACTTGCTCGGTCCGTAGTGCAGAATGGCCCACTTTCTGTTTGGAGTGGAGAGTTACTAGAATCAATAGAGCCTTATAAATTAAAGAAGGTCAGCCTCTGGGTGGAAGACATATTCAGATGTCGTCATTGCCACGCACGGCTCTTCGAGGAAGAGAAAAACAGAAAAAAATGGTGTTGCGGAGAGGGAGCATTCAACGTTCTTGACCTCCCTCCTCTGCAAGAACACTTTTATTCTGATCGTCACTTCCTGGAAAGAGCCCGTGCATACAACGATATGTTTGCTTTCTGCGCGCTCGAAGTGTCAGGCGGGTATCGTCATCCCAGTGGTCTTTCATTTTTCAAGATCGAGGGAAGAATGTACCACCAGGTCTACAATCTGGACGCCCCAGGACAAAAGTTCACCACTCGTTCTGGGAACGTTCAGTTTGTTAATCGGTCCCGCCTGTACATAGACGACGGCGAAGAGCGCCGTAACATTGCGATGGGTAGATCTCTTGATGGCGAGATCATCGACGGTATTGCCGATTTTCTATCGAGGGAAAATCCTTATATTGAGCATTACCGTCGATTGAGTAATGAGCCTTCTGTAAATGCTCACTTGGCTTTTGAAGTGACTAGTAGATCTACCCATGGCCCTGTTCTCGGTGATCGGCAGACAGGCGTTGAAGTGCACGCCGTGCTCAGCAATGATGAGAACGACACTGAGCCCCGGAGACTGACAATATGGAAATCCGGTTCCGACAGACCTACATATATTGATCTTTTACATCCCCTAATGGAACCTTTCCAATATCCCCTACTCTACCCGCAAGGCACTGTGGGTTGGCACGTTGGTCGCCGTGACAACAAAGGTGCCAAACTGACCCAGTTTACGTACTCGCGTTGCCTCCTACTTTCTGAACCTCGCTTCTCTCACTTAGGCCGTCTTTCACAAGCTTGGCAGGTTGAGATTTTCGCAAGGTACGAGGAGGAGAGACTGCGTTATATAAAGTACACGCAGCTGAAGAACACCGACAATGCCTTGCGGGTAGGCCCGGTTGACGAGATCCGTAATGCACAGCAGGTCTTGAACGACATCGCTCGTGATGAAACCGTCCAAGGCGAGGGCGGGGTGCAGGCAGGAAAAGTCTACCTCCCAAGTTCGTTCGCCGGGGGGCCCAGATACATGAAGGTCAAATATGAGGACGCCATGGCACTCGTATCGCGCCTGGGTTCCCCCACTTTCTTTTTGACATTCACGTATAACGCAACTTGGGAGGAAAACAAGAAAGCTTGCCCTCGTGGAGGAAGTCGCAGTGACCCTAGCACTGCTTGCAGAGTTTTCAGAATTAAACTTCTGGAACTTCTCCGAGACCTACGCAGCGGATCAATGTTCGGACGAGCTGTCTATATCGTCTACGTCATCGAGATGCAAATGAGGGGCCTTCCTCATGCCCACATTGTATTCAAGATCGACGGCGACGGACCAGTTCAGGCGTCCGAAATTGACTCCATCATCCGCGCGGATATTCCCTCGGAAGAAGAGGCTGGAGGCCGACTGAGGAAGTTAGTTCTAAAACATATGATCCACGGTCCATGTGGAAATGATCACAGAACCGACTTCCTCTGTTGGGACTCTGCAAAGGGTTACTGTACCAAGTACTTCCCCAAACCCTGCTGTGAAACGACTCACGTCGACGAGAGGGGATTTGTCCAGTATAGACGTAATTACACCAACCAGGGGACCATCCAATCGAGAAATAAAAATATTATCGTTCACGACGGTTGGGTTGTGCCATATAATCCCGCACTGATGTTGAAATACGAGGCCCACATCAACTTGGAGTTGGCGTCTACGCGCCGCGTAATTAAGTACCTCTTCAAATACCTTATGAAGGGAGGATCACTACAGAACGTCACAGTCACTCCCTTCGAGCCGTCTGTTGAATGTCTTCCTGTCCACTTGGAGGGCAAGCAGTCCGTCCTCTTCAGACCTGGTCAACTGGCAGAGGCAGCCGCTAGAAACACCTCCAAACTCACCATCTACTTTGACCGGCCTCGTATTTCACTGTTCGACGACGTGACTTATCAGTGTTTTTATGAAACATTTATAGTCCACGTGAAGCGTCCGAAAACTGCGGAGGTTTACGAGCACCCCAACGGCGTTCATTTTATCACTGCCCGCCAGCGCGGCGAGAAGGTGTGCAGACTGTTTTGGGTCTCCCCTAGCAGGTCCGAACAGTACTATTTGCGTATCCTTCTCATGACTGTTCCTTGCCGTGGTTATGCCGACCTCCTGTCCCGCGGTGGACCCAACTGCCGCACTTTTCAAGAGGTCGCGCGGCATCTTGGCTTGGTGCAAGACGAACAGGAGTACCACTACGCGCTGCGCGAGGCAGCCACTTTCATGACTGGCCCGAGACTTCGTTCATTCTTTGTGATCCTCTGCAACATGGGAGCTCCTGCAGCTCTCCTGTGGGATGCTTTTCGTGATTCCATCTGCGAGGACCACATAGAGCGTAATCCTCTTGATGTTGAACTGGCCTACAAGCTAGGTCTCATTGAGATTGATCGGAGTCTCCGTCGGCAGGGCTCTTGCGTCGCAGATCACGGCCTCCCCGACGTACACGATGACACGACGGAGTTAGGAAGAGAACTGCTCGTACACGGCGAAAATCAACAGAGAGTGTTTGTGGAGGAGTGGGTTACAAAGCTTTACAAAGCTCTCTGAAGACCAAACCCGTGTATTTGAGTATGTAAAATCAGTTCTTAATGCCCCGGCCAACGGAACAATGTCAAAAACCATTTTCCTTGACGGTCCGGGAGGCTACGGAAAGACCACTCTAATTCGTGTCATCCTCGCATACGTGAGAAGTGTACGTCAGGTCGCACTTGCAGTCGCCAGCTCCGGGATCGCCGCGGGTAACATGCCTGGTGGTACTACTGCACACAGTATGTTCCGGTTGCCGCTCGACTTCGGTGACGGCACCGGCTTTTGGAACATTACCAACGACTCCCAGCGAGCAGAGCTCATCAGAGCCGCAAGGCTTATTGTCTTTGATGAGGCACCGATGGCACATCGGTTCGTTTTCGAGGTTCTCGACAGATCCCTGCGAGACCTCATGCGTTCCAGTGAGCTATTCGGTGGTAAAATCTTCCTCTGCTGTGGTGACTTCCGCCAGATCGCACCCGTCGTCGTGAACGCTCGAACGCCTTCTGACATTGTTTGCGTTTCACTTCGGGCCTCCCATCTCTGGCATCACTCCAAAATCTTTGCCCTGACGACAGCTCATCGAACTAGTAGTTCAACTGCCTATTCAGATTTCCTTCTCGGGGTAGGCAACGGTACTGTCAGTTCGACCACTTTCTTGGAGGGACGGAACGAACTAAGTCTAATTCCGCTGCTCGGAATTAGACAAGTGACGTCTTTGACTGATTTGGTCGATTCCGTCTTTCCCGCGAACGTCCTACTCGACTCTGATCTGTGTTCGCGACGCGCAATCCTCTCGACTCTGATAGTGAACGTCAAGGAGATCAACGGCCACATCTTGAACTCCCTTGACGGTCATCTGTGAAAGCTGAGGAGCGCCGACACAGTGGACAGAGAGAACGACGATGGCCTGGATGTTGACGTTCAACTCCTGAACACGGCTACTGGCAAGGGCGTACCAGACCATGTTCTGCGGCTGAAGATCGGCTCTGTTTGCCTCATTATGAGGAATCTCAACATCGCTGAAGGACTCGTCAACGGCACTAAAGTCATTGTAATCGGCATCTCCAACCGTCTGATTACAGTGAGACTTCCCGGACAGACGCAACCTATCGGAATTCCCCGGATTACGTTTACGTTCGCGTTTGTCGAGGGTTCGCCGTTACGTGTTCGTCGACGTCAGTTCCCACTGATGTTGGCCTATTGCATGACCGGACACAAGAGCCAAGGTCAGACAATAGATTCAGTCGGTGTTGATTTACGGACCGATTGCTTCACGCACGGGCAACTGTACGTCTTGCTCAGTAGGGTCAGACATCCCGACCATATTGTCGTTCTTGTACATCCCGAACGTGTCCGAGGTGGAATCGCGTACGCGAAAAACATCGTGTACGACGATCTCCTACTCTAAACCGGACTTGACACCAGCAGTAGGCTAGGGGATCTGCTTCATCAAAACTCCCCGTCGTGACTTGACAACACCGCCAGTTGTACATAGGGGGCCTGCCTCACCAAAAGTCCCCGTTGTACATATTTCCTTTTAGTTATTTTTTTTTTAGAAATAAGTCGTTTTTTGTGTGTTTAGTATTCTAGTTTGACAATACGATAGGGGGCCTGCCTTTTTAAAAGTCCCCGTTGTTGTATATATCTTTTTCTTCTTTTTATTAGTTAGTTAAGTTGTTGTTTATATTTCTTTAGGTAGTTAGTAAAGTTTACTAACTTTTACATTTGTAAATATGGTTCCGACGTTTCCTGGCCTCCTCGTGGCGGAACTGGATATGCCATAAAGTTTATGGCTAACCGACAGGGAAACAAACATTACTTGATCTATTTTCATAAATATATACATGAATATCTACTATAATCTATTTACTTCATATAATACTTTACTATTATCAACTCATTCACTTATCAATTTTTCTTATCTTATACAAAACTTAGCTTGTACATTTGTTAATAATTGTAAATATGGTTCCGACGTTTCCTGGCCTCCTCGTGGCGGAACTGGATACGCCATAAAGTTTATGGCTAACCGACAGGGAAAAAAACATTACTTGATCTATACAATCTATTTACTTCATATAATACTTTACAATTATCAACTTATTGACTTTTCAATCTACTCTAATATGTATTGTGAAATAATTATTACTTCAATATCGATTTTCGCTATTGCTATGCCAATTATATTATCACTTCGTTTGACCGAATACTCAGTTGTAAACATACTTTACTAACATATTCTCCTACCGCAACATTATAATTGATTTTTTGTATAAGGGGTTCTTTTAAGTTTGAGATTGATATTAGCTTGCCAGCCTCCTCAAATATATTCGTAAATTGTTTTGTTATAAAGTAATATTGACTGTTTCACTGACTGCTTTGTTACCCTCTTTGTTACAACTAAACTACTATCTACTAATGACGACTAACAGCTAGGGGGCCTGGGGGCGGAGCCCCCAGCGAGCCAAAGGCGAGTATAACTGTATAACTTAACTCGATAATCGTACGTTTTGGTTATGATACAACACCAATGATAGATTTTAAGGTACAGTAAAAGAACGTGTTTAATGGTTTTCACTGTAAACAAAAAACTATCACAACAGTTACAAACCGAAAAATAGAAAAAAATAGGAAAATATAAATAAATATGGAAAATAGGGTAATTTTCTACAACAATATTTTAGTGAAATTATAATCAGGAAAATGGAAATTCACTCAGTCTATAGACTTGCTGCGGCAGGGGGATTATATTGTTGTTTACACAGAAATAAATCAAAAAAATAAACCTCATAAAACTCAGGATAATGGCCTGGCAATGATTATAGAATCTTAATTATTTCTTATATCCATGAATGATTTATTTTACAACGAATTGTTCCCTGTAAAATATTATTACAGCATTTCACAAATATTAATACAAACTCAGTATAATAGATCATAAACATAAACAAATGAAGTAACTGAAAGAATCATACACTAATGAAATCACATTACCATATGGTTTGACAGCTCCATTTAAGCGAGGTTAAATAATGAATGTTTACATTCGGGCTAGTGACATCATTATTTTAAATTTATAATCCTTACCCTCTCTGTTCTAATATTCGTGCAGTATTTAATATGTTTGAACCAGCTGTGTGGAATTGTGAAATCAAAATTCATTTGACAGTTAGTTCTGCTTGTTTACATTTTTAAACTTTCTAGGTTTGTTCTTTGTTACCATGGATACCATCAATCAATATTTACTTTTAAATCTCTCACCTCAAATTTTTGAATGCCCACGGGGCAGAGCCCTAGGTCAATATCGAAGCGGGGATAGTTCTATATGTATCCTCGGAACTGTAGCTTCATTTGTGTGCAATTTGAGCCCACTAGGTTCAGTAGTTTTTGAGATTAGCTCATACAAACACACAGACACCACCTCTTCTTTATATTAGTATATAGATAATCATCTATGAAATAACGAACAGCTGTTCGGATCAAGATTATTTTTTCTAGCTGTCACTGATAATCATTTCCGATCACGCGCAAGTGCAATATTATAGTGTAACCGTAAATGAAATTAAATAGCTAGGCATCATCCAGGTCAGGAACCAGAGATTATTTGTGTATGAAATTTTCTTGAGTTTTGATAACCAGAAAGAAGACCTTGAATCAGTGTTGTAGGCCTATAGGGCTGGGAAACTTGAATTTATTAATGACCGTCGCCAAGAGCTTACAAACAAGGTTTCCACTCACTGGCGGCGCTTGTGGCGATTGTGTAGAGTGTAAAGTAAAAAAATCCCAACTGCAGTGGGTGATTGTAAGTAATAGAGGTATACGGATGATGCTAAATTCGTTTTTCCAATGTGTCACTTTCTGTTTCTACTCACCATGTGATGCAATCGCTGGACCATACAGCCAATAGGCCCATAGCCCATCTCTTGGGTACGTACCACTACCTATTTATTCATAACAACCTTTTCGATGACGATCCTTGATACCGGTACTTTTCCATGGAATACATGGCCTACCTACTTAAGAAATAAAGTTACAAATGTCCAAAAACCCAACACATTTTGTGATTTTTGTCACATTCAACTGACTACTATAAGATCCCCGTGCGTAGAACGGGCACACAGCTAGTGAATGAATAAATAAATAAGTGTTTTATTTTGAAATAAACATTCCTCTCATAAACATAATCTATCTATAACATTAAAACGTAACAGGGGTTTTTTATTTCACGATTCTGAATCAACCACTTGATGGATTTTCATGATTTTTGTGTTGAAAGAAAGATAATTTTGAGAACTAGGGAATGTCGAAGCAATAATTTTAGTTAAGGGTCCAGTTTTTTTTTTTTTAAATTAAGTTTAAATTTTTTTAAAGTCTAGCAGCCGACGCTAACATTCTAAACTAGCTTTTGGTATGATATAATTTGCTTAACATAACAGCTGTAAACATTCAGCGTTTGTGATACAAATTCAGCATTTGGATAAAAATGAAAAGACATACTAAGGGTTGACTTATTTATACTATGTGTAATGCTAATCTTTAATGAGTTCAATTCTTCGGTAAGAGATGACAGATTAATTAAATATACATAGTAAACTACTAGGGTGTTCAAATTATTTTTTAAAGTAATATTTGTAATCTTGGGTTTGTTTTAGTGCAATATCATTTGTTTTACCTAACAGCTGGTTAAATATTAAAATACACTTTAGAACTATTAGGTTGTTTTATTTACTCTGATTTTGTCATTGATTATAGGAAATAAGTAAGATTGGTAGTGATAATTGGACCGCAGATATAAGTAAGACCAGCTGTATACAATTCGAGGTTCTGTACACGATTAGATCAAGAATCATCAATAATCACGACTGTAAATTGCCACCACAACAAAAAACGGGTTTTATCCAAAGATATACAGATAGATGACATAGATTGAACACAACGTCATCATTGACCTAGGATACTGCAATTAGACTAACCATTTTATGACATCTAAAAAGTTGTTTGGCGTGTGTTCAGTTGTTGCGTTTGGGGGCGCTGATGTAGGCAAAATACCACTTTTATTTCAACTAAATATCTTATAGTTTAAACAAACGAATACGAGGGATTACTATGTACATTGATTCAATGAGGGTGGTTAATTATTATCAAGGATATTAGAACTGATAACGGTATGGATAATAAACATGGACAATTACGTCACTAGCTTTACTAACTGTGTTTACTTTTTAAATTCATTCAACATTTGACCAGTTTTTTTTCCCAAATGGATGCTATTTTAACCAAACAGCTGAGTCAAAAGAAACTAAATGTTGTTGTTTTTACTTTTCTTTGTTTACACTTATTTATTTAGAAATTAATGCAGTGAAATTGATATAAAGGATAGGTGTGACGATTAGTTTTGACGTTAGGACACCAAAGTTAAATTATGTGTACTGTGAATTTTATTGGATATTATCGTTTTATTTTAGGTCGCTTCTATTCAGACCTACTGGAAATTGTGTATAGTAGTTGTATTGTGGTGATAATAATTATGGAAGAGGCAGGTATGCTATGGAAGGTGGTATCGTCGACTAGGTCTATACACTTCTCAATTGACTATTAATCTCTCTACTGTAGGCTACTTATAATCAGTGTGCGTCTGTGCGAATCGGCTGCAAATCTCATTTCAACGCTTTTCACATCATAAAAATTGCAGAATTGCTGTTTTATTGTAAAATTATCGGATTTAAAATGCATATCGTATAGGCCTATGATGGAATAAAACATATTTGGTCACACAACATTTGTTTACAAGATGATTTTTCACATTAAAACTGCAAGAAACTTTGTCTTTATATGTGTAAACTAGCTGATCTGAATTGTACA